AGACAGAGAGAGAGAGAGGTCTTTCATCCGCTGGTTCACTCTCCAATTGGCTTCAATGGCAGGAGCTGCACCCATCCAAAGGAGCCAGGAGCCTCCTCCAGGTCTTCCCATGCATGTGCAGGGGCACAAAGATTTGGGCCATCTTCTACTGCTTCCCCAGTCCATAGCAGAGAGCTGGATTGGAAGTGGAGCAGCTGGGACTAGAACTGGCGCCCATATGGGATGCTGGCACTGTAGGTGGCAGCTTTACCCGCTATGCCACAGCACTGGCCCCTATTATCTATGTATTAAAGGCCATTTGCAATCATGAAAAGTATGCTTCCTTCCCCTTAGGGAGCCCACAATCTTGGTAGCAGACAGGCACAAAAATGAACAGCCATCACAGAGTATGAATCAAGCCCGTGGGAGGCAGGTTTGGAACACAGTTCATATGAACCACTTAAGGTAGCTGGAAGGGAAGTTTCACATAGGAGGTGGTATTTAAGATAAGATCCAGGGGTGGGTGTTTAGTATAGTAGTTAAGATCCTGCTAGGGATGCCCACGTGCTATGTCGGAGTGCTTGAGTTTGACTCACGGCTCTGCTACTGACCCTGGATTCAGCAGATGATGGATAATTCAAGTAATTAGGTCCTTGCCACCCATGTAGGAGATCCCAGTTGCTTCCTGGCTCCTGGCTTTGACCTGATGAGTCCTGCTGTTATAAGCATTTGGGGAGTGAACCAAAGGATAAAAGGTCTGTCTGTCTGCCCTTTATATAAAATGAAAGATGTAAATTATAAAAGTGTATGTTGATGTGGGATGTTGTAGGGTAGGTGGGAGATATTCCAGGAAAGAAAACAGACTAGGTAAAGATATGGACCTTTGAGAATGCAAATTGTGTTGAAAACTTATGAGATCATGAAGTCTGAAATACAGACATCAAAGTGAATGGGCAGAAGAGGGCCAACCAGGTTAGTGGAGCTCTGTCATCAAGGGTCTTGTACATAGAGTTAGGGAAGTTAGAATTTATTTAGATTCTAGGAGAGGGGAAATTAAAAATTCCAGTCTAGCAGTACTGTGGAAGCTGTAGTGGAAGGAATAAGACCAGAATCAAATTAATGGCAGTGGGGCAGGCTCTCCTGTTCACTATGTGGAGACTTAGGCAGTGACATGGCCATGAATCGTCTTGAAACTAGCCATGAGGAAGCTGAAGTCTCCGCAGGGTGCCAAGTGGGAAGAGAAATGAACTGGGAGCCAGCGCCGAGGCTCACTAGGCTAATCCTCCGCATAGCGGCGCCGGCACACAGGGTTCTAGTCCCGGTTGGGGCGCCAGATTCTGTCCCGGTTGCCCCTCTTCCAGGCCAGCTCTCTGCTGTGGCCAGGGAGTGCAGTGGAGGATGGCCCAGGTGCTTGGGCGCTGCACCCCATGGGAGACCAGGAAAAGCACCTGGCTCCTGGCTCCTGCCATCGGATCAGTGCGGTGTGCTGGCCGCAGTGCGCCAACCGCGGTGGCCATTGGAGGGTGAACCAATGGCAAAAGGAAGACCTTTCTCTGTCTCTCTCTCTCTCACTGTCCACTCTGCCTGTCCCCCAATAAACAGAAAACAAAGAAAAAAAAAGAAATGAACTGGAGGGCCAAGTGTTCATCTGCTATGCTAATAAGGCTCCCATTGAAATGTCTATGGTTGCGTTCTTGAGAATTCTTCCTCACACACTCTGCATCCTCCAGTTTTCTGTGTGAGGCTGGCATCCAGGGAAACAGGTGTATTGATAGGCATATAGCAGGTGTATTTATGATGTTGCTCTTATTTTGATCATTACATTCAGTCTCATGTTCCTTTAAAACTCACTCCAAGTAGAAGTACCATCAAATTGTAGCAAAATTGTCATTTTGTGTTTTTTCTTGGTTTTCATCTTCATTTTCTGGAAGGAGCATCAGAAAATGGGCAAGTCAGAGACTTAGATAATCCAAAAATTCTTTAAATAATTTCTGACTTTCCCTCTCCACTGACCAGGATAAATAAAAACAGACATCTGAAAGAATAATATTTATGGATTTCCCTACGTATGAATACATGTATATATATATATATATATCTTTCCTTAAGCATAAATTAAAATCAATGCTTGTTCTCAAAATTTGTATTAATAAGTACAGAGTATCATAGAATATAATAAGGGTGCTGAGTCTGGGGTCAGGCTGCCTGGTTTCAAATTCTGGCTTAGCTTTGACCAAGTTACTTCTCTAAAGTCAGTTTCTTCAGCTACAAAATAGAGAAAATTATAGTTCATGGAAGTTCAAAGTGTTTGGAGGAGTTCAATGAATACAGGAGGCTTACAACAGGGCTTGGACTATTGTAGGAGCATAATCAGTGTCAATTAATATTATTATCCTTGGTTAATTTTCATGTTACTGAGGAAGCAAGTTTGCTCAGGTGTATTTATAAAGACAGAATTGTAAAATTTAAATCTAAGGCAAGCCAAAGACTTGCCTCTGTTCCACCCGGAGTAACATACAGTCAGAAAACAAAGAAAGAGACACATGGGAATTGCGAGGTAACTTAAACTCCTTTTAGAGTCATCTTTCTAATTACAGCTTCTGCATCTTGGATATTTGCAAACCTCTCTTCTCTAGCACAGTTAATTCTGGATCGAACTGTTCCCTGTTCCCATCCTCCCCCAGGGGTCAGCTAGCCTTGAACCTGGCCTTTCTGACTTACACATGCCCCAGTACAGACCTGCTTTACAAGTGTTAGAATTTCTGGGTCCTCACCATTGACTAAATGCCATGCATGACCCAGGAGGCATCTGTGTTGCCTATTAATAGAGTTGTGTCTGGGTTGGTGCCAACTCCGCCTGCACCAGAGACACTTAATAACCTCCTAATGACTTCAAACAAGCTTTCTAGAATGGCAATAATAAGTGTCATCAACCTTAACTGTACTTGAGATTGTTAAGTCTGGAAAACACAAGGGACTGCTTTTCATTGAAAGAACGAATTGATGGGGTCCGTGCTGTGGTGTAACTGGTAAAGCTACACCTGCGATGCCGACATCCCAGATGGGTACGAAGTTCATGTCCCTGCTAATGGCCAGGGGAAAACAGCAGAGGATGGCCCAAGTGCTTGCTCCCCTGCCACTCACATGGGAGACTTGGATGGATGAATATCCTAGCTTCTGGCTCCGGCTTGTCCCAACCCTGACTGTTGAGGCCATCAAGGGGGTGAACTGGTAGATGGAAGATCACTCTCCTCTCTCTATAACTCTTCTAAATCTTTTAAAAGATTTATTTATTTTTATTTGAAAGTCAGAGTTAGAGAGAGGAGAGGCAGAGAAAGAGATAAAAAGGTCTTCCATCCGATGGTTCACTCCCCAACTGACCGCAACGGCTGGAACTGCACCGATCCGAAGCCAGGAGCCAGGAGCTTCTTCTGAGTCTCCCACATGGGTGAAGGATCCCAAGGACTTGGGCCATCTTCTACTGCTTTCCCAGGCCACAGCAGAGAGCTGGATTGGAAGTGGAGCAGCCGGGTCTCAAACCGGCGCCCATATTGAATGCCAGGGCGTTAACCCACTGCACCACAGGGTCGGCCTCAATAAATTAATCTTAGAGGAGAGACAGCATCATTTAAAAAAATGAATGAATTGATATATGGATGCAGAAAGGATTTCCTCTCCTTAATTCACAAAATGTGTAAAAGAAAGGCAATGGAAGAAACTGGTAAATTTGATTTAAAAAAATTAAAACACACTGTCAAAAGTCATAAGCAATATTGAGACACAGATTCCAATTTTAGAACATTTTATGAGTTATGACAAATCAGATATTAATTTCCTTGAAGTGTAAATAACAAAAATCAAGAAAGTGGAGTAAGGATGAGAGGAAATAATTTAAGGAGTAAATAATTAAAATCAATAAACATGACAAGTTTTCAACTTTACTAGTAATCATATAAATAATGAAGAGATAGTATTTTATGGCTTGTGAAATCAGTAATGATATTTCTGACCATAAAATTTATTCTGTCTTACATTGTCTAATTAGTACAATCATGTCAGAAATAGAATCTGACAACATGTAGCAAGGGACTTAGAAAAATCTTTTCCATTTGATTCAGTGACTTTAGTTCTAGTAATCTCTTCTATGGAGGTAGAGATGTATGTTTATGACAGTATTGTTAGTGATAGCAAATAAACCTAGTGATGTTAGCAACAAAAAGTAAAGGAAAAAAAAATTCAAAACCTGGGCACAAGTATTCCTCGTGAGCTAAAAATAGACAATTACCAGGCTGGTGCTGTGGCGTAGAAGGTTAAGCCTCTGCACAATGTCCCAACTGCTCTACTTCCAAACTAGCTTCCTACTGGTGCACCTGGGAAAGAAGCAGAAGATGGCCCAAGTGCTTGGGCTCCTGTGCCCATGTGGGAAACCCAGAAGAAACTCCTGGCTTCTGGCTTTAGCCTGGCACAGCCCTGGCCATTGTGGCCATTTGGGGAGTGAACTAGTGGATGAAAACACACACACATGCACACTCTCTTTCTCTCTTTCTCTGTCTCTCTCCTTTTCTGTATCTCTGACTTTCAAATAAATAAATAAATCTTTAAAAAGATAGGCAATGACCAATTAGAGTCGGGTCTGCTCATATGGTGGAGTCATTAAAACTGTCCATTGCCAACCGTATATTGAAATAATTTTTAATAACATGAAAATATATTCATATATACATTATGCTTCATTACATGTATTATATGTGATACACTTGTTTTGCTAAGTTGTAATTAACAACTTTTTGGAAGAAGAATTTTATTACTCTAGGAATGTATGCGTACATATAGAAAGAGCTACAGGAAGCTTAAAATAGCAAGAAAAATCCCATTATCTTGATTTATGTTGTATTTTTGCATATTTTAAACTTTAATGTACTATGATCCCCTGGGTAAGAACAGTCAGGTATTATTTTCTCTTTTTGTAGATAAAGATACCAAAGCATATGAAGATGGCTGGCATGGGTAAGGTCCCAGAGCTGAGGAAAGACAGAGCTGAAATTTGAACATGATCGTTTGATGGCTATGTCTAGAACTACTTTCACTAAACAAAGGAGACTGTATGATCACTTGACTAGAATATCTACAGCTATAGAGAGGCCTAGAAATGTTGGGAACCTATAGTTATAACTCCTGGTGTTTTACAAGTGTTAAATAGGAAACGCCAATTCAGATTCCAGGTAGCATTTATACGCAGATGGACAATTCTACAGGATGAAGGAAATGATTATATAAAGCATGTTAGCGCACTGACTAAATTGAAAAGCCTTTGATATGAGTCATCCTTGAGCGCTGTGGAGGAAAGTAAGTGGGCATTATCTCATTCTACATAAAGGGAAGCAAACTCATAAATATGGGAAGAATATTCTTTCTGCTCTCACACACTGAGACAGTGGACAAGATGAGGTAAACCTTACATTCCTTGCTTCCTATGTCATGTGGTAACCTCGTACTCCTAGAGCCCCAAACAGGCTGCTTTCCTGGGGAAGTATTCAGGGCCTGCAGTGGGTGAGTGAACAAAAGCACTACACACTGAAGTGCCTGCCTCTCTAGTTTTGATTTCAAGTCAGAGCTTGAACATTCTTAGCCGAGAGTTCTGGGATGAGAAAAATGAGCATCGGAGTAACGTCAGGTTCACCAGAAAGACTCAGCATGGATTCTTTTGTATTTGAAGAAACCTGTACTGTGATTTGGTATGGGAAGTCTCTGGGGAGTCAGTATCTTCTGGTTGCCATTCATTTTTTGTCTCTTCGGAGCCTATTTATTTCATTTCATCAATAAGTACTCATTTATATAATTTCCATTTCTCCTTTAAGGGATTCTCTAATTCAAACTCTGCAAGTTTTTTTTTTTTTTTCCGTTTTTTCTTTGTCTAGTTAGGGTGGTATTTTTCTTTCTGAATTTTCTAAATATTTTTCTTAATTGGACCAATTGCTTACATACATAGTGTTCTTTATTCTTAAAATGTAAAATGCTATGCTTATGTCAAATATTCTACTTTAATGCTGTGACATACTTAAAAATATTCTGTACAAAAAAGATACCAGTAAATATTAACAGCTGAATTGGAAGTAATATGATTCGTACATATCTAGAACACTATCTAATATTAGTGTTTGGCAAACATTCTATTGTTTCACAATGAGAAATGCTTTGTGAAGTTCTAATACCACTTATTTGTCTCCAGAGCTGGTGTGTCCATTTCTGGTTGAATCTTTAAAGGATTGCTTCACCTCAGGCCTGGTATTTAACCCTTGCATTTAGACTCCTGGCAAATGAGAAATGTTCATTGGCTGGATTAGACTATGGTTCATAAGGTGCCAGGTGATCAGAGGGTGACAAAATCATATACCCATGACTCAAAGGTAAGATCAGTTTATGTGTATCCTTCTTGAATGTAAGATTGTTGCTTTAGGCACTTTGAATATTTCTTTGAATTTAATGGGGTTATAATACACCTAGCGAAAGAAACAAAATATATTTATATAAAATTAAATAGTGGTATACAACAAGCAGTAATCAAGACAATTTGAAATATACAGAACATGCATTCCAGTGGAACAGGACGCATATGTGGGAGAAATCATGGTGGAGTCATGCAGAAAGTCTTCAGGGAGAATTGGGAAGAGTGACAGTGCCATATAAGGAATAATTGCATTGATTTTGGATAAAGACATGCCTGGGTTTGAGTTCTGGCTTTATGGTATTGAAAGTTATTTTTCCACTCTAAGTTTTGATTGTTTTCCACTAAACTGCTTGATAAAATCCTCTTTGTAGCTGTGTTGCATGAATTAGATAAAATAATGCATGAAAAGCATTCAGTTTAGTTCCTGTGGTAAAAATAGTATCTGCTGTTAAATAAAGTGGAACTTGAATGATGGGCTGTATTTTCATTGCAGGATCGAAGACACAAGGAGCAGGGGACACAGGGAAGAAAAATAAAGGCAGAAAATCCTGCTAGTGGATCAAAGGCATGCACAAGGGTTAGAAGGCCTGAACATGCAGCTATGTTTAAGGCTAACAGAAGCACACCACATTGAAGTTATTTATTTGTTTATTTTTATGGCTGAGGATGTCTTGAAGAGGACATTTAAATTAGGTTAGAAAACATGACTTAAGTTGGTGGCTTGACATTTCTGAGATGCTACCTTTGGCCAGGTGAATGTCCTAAATGTGTTTAGTTTCCTGCTTTCACAGTACCGAGGGTGCCTTACACATTGTAGAGTTCTTTAACACATCTGTGAGGTAGGAAGAACAGTGGGAAAAAATGCCTGACATGGACTGAATGGCTCACAGCAGGTGTGTATGTCTCACAGATGGGCCTGACTCTGGGTTTTCTGTTTCCCAGAGCATCCCTGTGAAAGCTCATGAGGCCAATCTCAGTTTTTCTCATTAGACATCTGTTCCGGGGGAGAAAGGAGGAGAGCAAAGCACTGTGAGGGCTCAAGCAAGAGACTCCACAGTTTGTTGCAAATGAGTCATACACACAGTATTGCTTAACATATACAGAATATAGGTCTGTAATTATGGAAACATTTACACAGCTTCCACAATAGAAAGTGTCAATAAGCAGGTGTGTCTCATATTTACAAAATAGACTCATCGCATTTCTAAAATGTTCTTTTTCAATATATTTCACGTTAGACTTGTGATTTTTCTTTGGACAGCTAATAGCTTTTTTGCCCTTTTCTGTGATGAATGAGTAGGTGCACAGAGTTGGCAAATGCTAATGACACAATGCAAACTTTGAAGCATAGGTATGTTCACCAAAGTCCTAAAGCGGGATGATAAAGAACGTACGTGGTTTTCCTCATTGTTCTGTGAGTACTGAAAGGCAATCTTCTCAAGCACTAATAATTGAAGAACTTGGGTTGCAAGGATGCTCAGGGCTCACTTGGCTTATTTTTAAGCTTTATTTATTTAGTTGAAAGAGTGACAGAGAAGGAGGGACACAGAGAGGTCTTCCACCCACTGGTTTCCTGCTCAAATGGCTACAATGGTCAGGCAAGGGCCAGGCTGAAGCCAGGGACCTGGAATGCCATTTGGGTTTCCCATATGGTGGCAGGGGTCCAGGTACTTCCGTCATCTTCCACTGCCTTCTTAAACCATCATCTGCCCTATTTTTATGGAAGAGAGCTGAGTACAAGAGAATAAGTGAGAAATTCTTCAGCTTCGCTTCTTGTTGGAATCACCTATGGAGATTTAAAAACGATGGCTGCCTAAGCCCTATCTCCAGTCTGTGATGTAGTTGGTTTGGTGAGTACTTAGGAACCTGGAGTTTGAAAACCCTCATAGGTGATTCTTCCATGCAGTCCATGATTGGAAACCACTTTGTTAAGCAAGTTATATGATACCACTTGTACTAATTTACTTACATGCTCTTAATTAGATTTGTCAGTAGGGACCAAAACTATAAGATCTTAAACTCTCTCTTCAGGACTCAAAACTTTTGTCTTGTATTCCTTTGTTCTTCTGATTTGCCTTCTCCTTCCTACTATTCCAATTTCAACTGTCAAAATAAGTTACCATAAAGAGTCAATAGAGGCATCATTTGGAAGTGTAGCTGACTAATCTGTATTTGTGTGTTAACTAGAGACAAAAACCCTGCTAGAAAAAGCCTTCATAACCTTGAAATAATAAACCATAAGCCATTACTTAATTAGCCTGTGAGTAGACAATCTGGTTTTTCTTTATCAAGTAGACTAGCTGGCTCACCCAAGAGATCTTCCAAGTCTTTAGTTCAAAACACTTGAATATGCAAGCTTATTGTATAGCTGGCATCTGAGAACAGAAAGACTGTCACTTCAGTTGCAAAGACAACTATTCTTTCTACTCAGTTGGGATGTTTCCTCTCTAGTCCCAGTTCCTCTGTAAATATGAAAGACAGGAAATCAGAATTGTTTTCCTGAAACAAGAATTAAGTATATTTGGCTGTGTTTGGACAAAATGCGCCTCTTCATGTGCTTTGAAATCTGGGAAGCTGTGAATTCTGTTAGCCCCGCAACTGTACCTTAATATGAGAACTCTGCTTTGTGCTTTATACTGTTTGTCTTTAGAAACTTTATATAGTTCTTTCTATAAGATTGTATTTAAGTAATTAGACAATTATGATTTCATATTTCTTTCATAGAGCCTCACAGAAAGTAAGGCATCTGAACAATGAATTCATTGATTAGAATTCCTGCTGTTATTATAAGTTTTCTTCTCTAGGATGATAGCATGTTGATTTTTTTTCCTATGGGAGGATTATAGGCATTTGTGGAAATTACCCGTTAGGAATATGTCTTTATTTTATTACAGTTAGTAAGGTGTAGAAAGAGAGAACAGAAAGAGTTATGGAAGGTAAAAGAAATACATCACGAGGACTTAATTCTGTAATTTAGGACTTTTATGCCTGACTTTAAATTTTGGCCATGATTAACTAGGTTGTATCAAATTTTCTCTCACCAAAATACATATGTGCCAAATGAAGAACAATTAAATAATCGTTTACAGGAAATGAGCAGTCAACTGAGATTCCTGTGACAAGTGACACACAGCAGCCACATTCTGCCTTCATCTTGTATTTCTCTCCAAGGTGCTCTTTCTAAATCATTGCGTGGGAGAATAGAACCCAAGCAGAAATCAGCAGTCTTGCAGTCAGAGGAAACAGTTGCTGATGTTCAAAGTTACTGTGGTGACTGGAATTTGAGAAGGTAAATATTAGCTAGGAGAGAGCTGTAGAGAAAGAATCCCAAAAAACCAACATAAAAATTCACTTTGAGTCTTTGGCTGACTCATAAAGTTCTGCAATCACAGAATGAGATTTTTGGGAGACAGCAGAGAAAAGATGCAGATTTCTGAAGTCGTTCAGTCCTAGGAAGACACTGACTCCAGCTGGTGAATTCCATTTTACTGCAAATGACAGGATTTCATTTTTTTTAAACCACTGAGTAGTATTCCATGGTGTATAAATACCGTAATTTCTTTATCTAGTCATCAGTTCATGGACATCTGGGTTGATTCCACATCATAGCTATTGTGAATTGAGCTGAAATGAATATGGGGGTACAGATAACTCTTTCATTTGATTTCATTTTGTTTGGGTAAATTCCCAGGAGTGGAATTGCTGGATCATATGGTAGATCTATTTTCAGATTTCTGAGATGTCTCCATACTGTCTTCCACAATGGCTGTACCAGTTTACATTCCCCACAATAGTGGATTAGGCTATCTTTCCCTCCACATCCTTGCAAGTATTTATTGCTGGTTGATTTCTGTATAAGACCTATTCTAAATGGGTTGAGGTGAAACCTCATTGTGGTTTTGATTTGCATTTCCTGATGGCTGGTGATCCTGATCATTTTTCATGTGTCTGTTGGCCATTTGGATTTCCTCTTTTGAGAAATGTCTGTTTAAGTGTTTTGCCCATTTCTCGACTAGGTTGTTTGTTTTGTTGTTGTTGAGTTTTTTGATCACTTTATATATTCTGGTTATTAATCCTTTATTCTGGTTATTTGCATGGTTTGCAAATAATTTCTCCCAATTTGTTGGTTGCCTCTTCACTTTCCTGTTTCTTTTGCAGTACAGAAGCTTCTCAATTTGATGTAATCCCATTTATTAATTTTGGCTTTTATTGCCTGTGCCTTTGGGGTCTTTTCCAGGAACTCTGCCTGTGTCTGGCTTTGTTTTTGTTATTTAAGTTTGCTTTGGCTAGTCTGGGTCTCCTATGTATCCATATGAATTTCAGCATCATTTTTCTATATCTGAGAAGAATGTCCTTGGTATTTTGATTGGAATTGCATGGAATCTGAATTTTGTATTTGATAGGGTGGACATTTTTGATGATATTGACTCTTCCAATGAATGAACATGGAAGATTTTTTCCATTTTTTGTGTCTTTCTCTATTTCTTTCTTTAACGTTTTTTAGTTTTTATAGTAGAGATCTTTGCATCCTTGGTTAAATGTATTCTAAGGTATTTAAATTTTGAAGCCATTGTGAGTGGGATTGTTCTTAGAAGTTCTTTCTCAATGCACAGCACATTAAGCTGTGCATTGAGATTTAATGCTATAACGAGTACTCAAACAATATATTTCACTTTGTGTTTCTATGGGGGTGCAAACTGTTGAAATCTTTACTTAATGCATACTAAACTGATCCTCTGTAAAAAAAAAAAAAAAAAGAAATTATCAACTCCCAACTTGACTCTCACTGGGATTAAACATGACAATAGGTCTGATCTGATTTCATCATCATTAAAAAAAAATCATCTATTATTTTTCACTTTATGTTTCTGTGTGGGAGCAAACTGTTGAAATCCTTACTTAATGTATACTAAGCTGATCTTCTGTATATTAAGATAATCAAAAATGAATCTTGATGTGAATGGAAGGGGAGAGGGAGTGGGAAAGGGGAGGGTTGTGGGTGGGAGGGACGGTATGGGGGGGAAGCCATTGTAATCCATAAATCGTACTTTGGAAATTTATATTCATTAAATAAAAGTTAAAAAAAAAAGTTCTTTCTCAACAATGGCCTTATCTGTGTATACAAAAGCTATTTTTTTGTGTGTTAATTTTATATCCTGCCACTTTACCAAATTATTTTATGAACTCCAATAGTATCTCAGTGGAGTCTTTTGCATATCCTATATATAGAATCATGCCATCTACAAACACTGATAGTTTGACTTCCTCCTTCCCAATTTGTATTCCTTTGATTTTTTTTCTTGCCTAATGGTTCTGGCTAAAAAAAATCCAGGGCTATATTGAATAGCAATGGTGATAGTGGGCATCCTTGTCTGATTCTGGATCATAGTGGGAATGCTTCCAATTCTTCTCTATTCATTAAGATATTGGCCATGAGTTTGTCATAAATTGCCTTGATTGTGTTGAGGAATGTTCCTTTTTTTTAAGATTTATTTATAATTTTGAAAGAGGCAGAAGCAAAGGCAGAGAGAAGGAGAAAGAGATCATCCATCTACTAGTTCACTCCCCAGTGGCTGCAAAGACCACAGCTGTGCCAATCCAAAGTCAGAAGCAAGGGGCTTCTTCAGGTCTCACACAGGTACAGGACCGAAGCCCTTGTTCCATCTTCTACTGCTTTCCCAGGCCATAGCAGAGAGCTAGATTCAAAGTAGAGGAGCCCGATCTCAAACCAGTTCCCATATAGTTGCTGGCACTTGCTATACCACAGCACTGACCCCTAGGAATGTTCCTTCTATACTCAATTTGCTTAAGGCTTTCTTCATGAAAGGATGTTGTATTTCATCAAGTGCTTTCTCTGCATCTATTGAGGTAATCATATGGGTTTGTTCTTCAGTTTATTAATGTGATATATTTATTGATTTGCAAATGTTGAAACATTCCTGCATCTCAGGGATAAATCCTGCTTGGTCTGGATGAATGATCTTTCTGATGTGTTGTGGATTCGATTGGCTAGTATTTTGTTTAGGATTTTTACATCTATCTATGTTATTTGGGGAAATTAATCTATAGTTCTCCTTCTGTGATGTATCATTTTCTTTTTCTTTGAGAGTACACAAATGCTTTATAAAAATTGATAATATATCCAACCTCAAAGAAGTTCTTATGGATACATAAGACATGTTGATGCCACAGGTCTATGAGAAATAAGCAGCAATGATGACCTCAGCAGAAATATTTAAAGAAAATAGTAACCCTTGAACTCAAAGGAAATTCTTATTAGCATAACAAAAATATCACATGTCAAAACTTATGTAGTGCAAAGTCATAACTCTAAGAAACAAAATCACAATGTACCAGAAATATCAGAAATATGATTATATCTAAGCAGAATGGCAAACTAGTAAGCCAGTTTTATTTTTTCAGAAGAGAGAAGAAGAGACTTTGGCAGAACAATTGAGTTAGCTGAACAAAATCACGAGTTGGCTTAAAGCACTCAACACCTAAGTAAGCCACTTCCATGAGAAGAGGGAAAATGTAAGACAAAGAAAACAACCAAATGAAAAGATAACCCAAATGTTGATGGGGACAACCCCTTAGAACCTGACATTCTTTGAAACTCTAAAGGAGAAGACTTCTTCAAAAACACACAACAGCGCCAAGAATTTGTACCAAAGGAACTAGGTTCTGCTCACTGGTCTTATCTTGCTGTGGAAGCTCCCAAGGGGGTGGGGAGTGAGGTCTTAATCCTTCGGTTAGGTGAAAAGAAGAGGGAGCGAGCAGGAGGAAGAGAAAGTGCATATAAAACGGGAGGGCAGGGGAAACCCGGTTGAGAAGCTGGGTGTGGGTGTGGAGGGTGTCCAGCAAGGGACGGCCTGAGCTGCAGGTGACTGGCTCAGAAGCAGGTGTAACGGGGATCGGCTGAAACCAGCGTGGAGCTGTGGGAAAGCCGCCCACCAACGCTTTTAAGGAGAGCGGTGTCGTGTGCAAAATGATGCTCTGAAAATCAATTTGGCTGCATTACGGCAGACGGATGGAGAGGGAGGGGCTCTGAGCAAGTGGGACAAGCCTGTCCAACATGAGACAGAGCAGCGGAGGTAGCTCTTTCAGGGGTCCCTGTCCAATGCCGCCAGCTGCCCAGCTGCATTGGGCATCCTCTCTTCACACTCCATAAATGGCAAGAGACCCTGGGCGGTGGGCTGCCTACAGACAGGGTCGGTCCCCAGGCCTGTACGGTCCCACCGGTCATGCAATGGGTTCTGGGGGACACTGGGCTGCTGATTACAAGTGCCGCAGAGTGATGCCGCACAGACACGGGCTGTGCTGGGGCAGGGCCAAGGTGACTGCTGGGAGCTCTCCGGCTCATCACGTCTGTCACTTTGAATTCTCTGGCCTGCCACACCCTACTTACTAAGTAATCAATTTGGCCATCTTAGGTTTATTCATTAGAGTTACAGGTGAGTGCCACACTGAGATTCTGATCGGCCGAAGTGAGCAGCGACAGCACCTCTGGGTTCACGTGAGTCCAGCCGTAAACGTTGGCCTTCACCGCGGCTCAGGTTGCCACTTCCTCCGCTAGATCTAAATAGCATGGAGGAGCGAACACTAGAGATTCTGAAGCTGGGTATAAAGCCTGGTCCATCAGCCGGATGCTGTCCGTACCTGAGCCCTCTCCTGGGGCCCTGGGAATGGGGCGACTGGGGCAGAAGGGCCTCCAAGCTCCGCTCAGACGCTGGGAGCTGTGGGGGACGTGCTCAAGCCCGCGTGTGGACGCCACAGCAGCAAGCAGCACCTGCAAGCCTCGAGCTGGAGGTGGTGAGGGGCAGCCTTGATCAGCGAGAGGCTTCTGCAAACCCTGCTGCTGCGGAAACCAGGCGCCTCCAGACTGTGGGGTAGGGGCCCCTCCAGGTCTCTGTCCTCCACTGCCAGCCAAGGCCACGTGGCTCCACTCTGAGCAGGTGCCTCACACCAACCCTTGGAGGTACCCGGCCGAGTCCCCTCACCCCAAACTCACAGATGGGCCAACGGAGCTTGGGGGAGGTCGTGCTCTAGGTCACACGGGTGGGAGGGACGGAACTGACCCTTGAACCCTGCCTGAGCCACAAGTCCCTCTGCGGAGCCATATCCCTCGACACTAGGGGTGGGGGTTGGGGAAGGCCACAGGACCCCCCGCGGGGGACACAGGCCAGGCTGCTGCACAAAGCATGCTGTGGTCTAGGGCGCAGACCCTCCTTTGCTCCCTTAGCCTGTTTTGGCGGCCCATATCCCAAGCTGGCAGAGAACTCCACTCTTTCTTGTCGCTTTCTGAAGCTGTTTCTGAAGCTCTTGGAAGCTCCAGACTATAAGGTGGGGGGTGGGGGGGGAGTTCATTGCCTGGCTGTCTTCCTGGGTTCCTGTTCTCTCTTCCCGACGTGCACGCCCCTAGATTCTGGGGGAAAGCAGAGAGAGGGCATAAGGACACCTGGCAGGCTCGGGAGGCGGACTTGAGAATGCAGAGATGAGGACAGTCGCTCCCTCTTGGGGCTCGCCTCCTTGCAGCAGCAGCTCCCTTAAACTCCAGAGGGCCTGGCAGCGCGTGGCCTTCCAGCTGGCCAGGGGACCCCGTTATCAGGGAGGTAAGGCAGGGTCTTGGAGACACCGCGAGGCAGATCCAGGCATCTTCCTATGGTGCGCCTCGGCAGCATGACCTTCTGATGCCGGATCAGGTGCGAGCTGCCCCTGAAGGCCTTGTCGTAATGACTGCACACGTAGGTCTTCTCCCGCGTGTGCATTTTGGAGTGCTTGATGAGCGCTGAGCGGTGGCGGAAGGCTTTGCAGCACTCGCCCGCGTACGGCTTCTCGCTGTGTGGACGCACTGGTGCTGGATGAGCGCCAGGCTGTGCCCGAAGGCCTTGCCGTACTCCTGGTAGCACTCACAGGGCTTCTTCCCGGGTGCGTCTTGCGGTGCCCGATGAGGTTGGCGCTCTGGCTGAAGGCCTTGCCGCACTCCTCGCAGGCGTAGGGCTTCTTCCCGGTGTGGATGCGCTGGTGCCGGTGCCGGATGAGGTGGGACCTGGGACAGAGGCCTTCCGGCACAGCTCGCACTCGTGAGGCTTCTTCGGGGTGCTGGCTCAGGCCCGCCCCTGGCTGAAGGACTTCCCGCACTCCTTGCGGGGGTAACGCCTCCTCCCCGTGTGGATCCGCTCGTGCTTGCGGAGGCTGGAGCTCCCGCTGAAGGCCTTGGGTGTGAGTCTTCCGTGCTGTCTGAGGGCGGAGCTCTGGCAGAAGGCCTTGCCGCACTCATGGCCCTCTTTCTGTCTCTCCCCAGTGTGGATCACCAGGTGTCGGAGAAGGTGGGAGCTCTTGGCTGAAGGTTTTGCCACACTCGCGGCCCGCGTAGGGTTTGGCTGGCTGCAGGGCTCTGTGAGGTGCCTTGGGGCCCACATGCCCCTCGCCCGTGTCCTGGCAGTTGCCTGGACTGGCATCTTCCCCAGGACGGATTGTCTGACACAGGCTAAGGTCAGATTTCTGGAGGAAGGTCTGGCTCAACAGCTCCTCATCTGGGGATCTGGCTCCCAGGGAGAGGCTCAGAGACTGCACGGGGCTCGGGCACAGGCTGAAACTCCCCCTGTAATCATCCTGCTCCTCGTCCAGTTCTCCAAGAGGGAGCTCCTTGTAGGTGACGGACATTTGCTCCAAGCCTCTTTCCTGGGGAAAAGGGTCCCTGAGATCCTCCCCTGGGAACAGCTTTTGCTGTGCCTCCAGTCTGTCCTCAAACCCAAAGGCCTCGCCAAACTTGGCTGGGGAAGCCTCCATTGTGAATCTAGTGTCGCCCCAACAGTTGGATTTCTTTTACAACACTCCTCTTTGGGCTGCCCTTGCAGTTCTCACAATCTGGGCCAGGGCGGGGCCGCACCTACCTTGCTCCAACCCACTGCCATGCCCCTTGTACCGTTTTCTGGTTTAGGAATTAAGGTAATGCAGGCTTCATAGAAGGCGTTTGGGAGGAGTCCCTTCCTTTCAATTGTTTTGAATAGCTGGAGAAGTGGAATTAGTTCTTTAAATGTCTGGTACAATTTAGCAGTGAAGCAGTCTAGTCCTGGGCTTTTCTTTGTTGGGAGGGTCTTTAATACTGATTCAAGCTCCATCTTGGCTATTGCTCTGTTTAGGTTTTCTGTGTCTTCATGGCTCAATTTCGGTAGGTTGTATGAGTCCAGGATCTATCCATTTCGTCTAGGTTTCCTGATTTGTTGGTGTACAGCTCTTTGTAGAAATTCCTGATGATTCTTTTCATTTCTCTGGTATCTGTTGTTACATTTCCTTTTTCATCTCTGACTTAATTGATTTGGGTCTTCTCCTTTTTTTTGGTTAATTGGGC